GTGTGGCATGCCTGCATGGAGGGAGTTTGGGAACAGCAGGTAAGAGAATGAGCAGTGAGCACAGGCCAGGCCCGAGAGCTCTATATGGTACGAAGTTTGACTTGTAAAGGCTCCACTTCCTACCTCCAGAGACTCGGATCCAGTTGGTCTGGAGAAGGAAGGTTGGGGGTACCAGTCTATACCTCAGCCAGGCTGTGAACCAGTCACTGTTAGAGTTCAGCTGTGCGAATGAGATAGTAAGACGGGGATTTGAAAGAGCCCACACTTGTAGCTGTGCAGGAGGATGCTTGAGAAAGCCCTGTTTCTTTGAGAAACAGTCAATGAGCCTCTGTGATGGTCCAGGTGAGAAAGAACCAGAAGCTTAGTGGAGGCAGGTGTGGAGGGAGTGAGGATAATTAGAGGAGAGCATCTAGAAGGCGTGTGGGGTGTATGAGAAGCAGAAAAGCGTGGTCAGATGGCCACAGAGAGGACCTAAAAGGTAAAGACTGGGTGTCCTTGGTTTTGGCTCTTCAGTGGGATGTCAGTGGGATGGTGGAAGCCAGATAGCCTTGGTTGAAGAACTTAACCTGTTTTAAGAAGCAGTCAAGTTTATTATGATCAAGGAAAGGTATATAATCCCAGGGACCTAGATGGAGTTCCAGGTATGAAGGGGATGGGGCTGGTAAAGTAAGTTGGGGCCATGGCATGGGCTTGACTTATTGGTAGCGGGAAGATCAAGTTCTCTGCTCGTGGGCTGATGTGAACTTGAGAAATGGACGGATTGAGATTAGAAGGGTGAAACCAGGTGGGATGAAGGCTGTTATAAGGCCATTGCTGTTTTCTTTCTAGTCCTGATGATATTTAACAGCTATTTTAACAACAGAGTGATGAAAATGTGTGGTATTCTCTCTCCCTTGGGATACTGTGGCCACTGAAAAAGGCCACCACTAATAGGAAAAATGAATTTGATTGCTTAATTGTGGACTCAATTTATTTGTGTTCTTCCCGTTTCCCTTGCCACATGTTTTCTGAGTTGACTCATTGACTACGCGAAGTTTCTCTCTAAGAGTATGTGTGTTTACCAAAAAAAAGCTCTGCAACTTTTCTCCACCCTGAAAATATTAAACAAGCAAAAAAGGCAATATACACCCAGCAGAAAAGTGTAGCTGGCTTCGTCTTGTTTTTGTGTTTTTTTTCAGTTTTGTAAAGAAGACCCACTTGGGGCGACGTGTGATGGTTTAGATCAGGGTTTCTCCGCCTTGGCGTAGTTGGCAGTTTGAACTGGTTGCTTCTTTGTTGTGCATCATAGGATGGCCAGCAGCATCCCTGGCCTCTACCCACTAGGTGTTCGTAGCACCTTGATCCTCCGTTTGTGACAACTGAACATATCTCCTACCATTACTCAGAGTGCCCTGGGTGGGGAATGGGGGAAGGCAAAATTGCCCAGACTGAGAACGATTGGTTCAAATGAAGTCTAGTGATTTTATCAGAAAATAACCTCTTCCTCCTCCTGCAATGGTTTTATTGAAGCTTGTGGACTCGGCACTGCTTTTTTTTTTTTTTTCCTTGCCAGACGAAAACTAATGAATGTTTATAAATTCTTTTGTCGAAAGTTTATTTAAAAATATTTAAAGAGAAAGGAAACGCTACTTTACTGGTTGCCTAACCATTCATTTGCTTACCCCACTTACCCAGTCTTTCATTTAGTTCTTGGATCTGCTCATTTAATTTTATAAGGATAGAATTGGCTTTTCTCCTGGGCCTTTAACTCTTCAGTACAAAGGTATTATGAATTCGGAAGTGCCCAAATAATACTGCCAGTTTAGACCTGGGTGTGTACATGTCGATTTCGCACAGGACTTGGATTCCAGTGTTAATTTCACAAGAAATGCCTTCTTACTTTGAGTAAGCTACTCTGATTTTCCTGTGCATATCTTCTCACCTGTAAAGTGAAGGAGATAATCTATATTATCAATAAGTTGGCTTCTAGTTCTAACTATCTAAGGTTGAAATATTTTGATTATTTCTTTGAGTTGGTCCTGACCCCACAACACATCCCCCAGTATAGTGCACCCCAAAATGTGCTTTGTCGGCCACTGATGATCCATAGACCACGACTGGTCTACAATTAGGTAAGTGCAGGAATGGAGAGTAAACAATTAGAATTCTTTTTTAATTTTTTTAATTTTTATAATTCAAGTGTGTAATTCTATGCGTGTTACATTTAATGATAAAGCATTAGGCTTATATTTTGTCCTAGTCTTTTAAATTTAAATTTTCTAGTAATTCATTTTGATTATAGTTTATGGAAGTTTTAGTCCATGTTTAATTGGGAGAACAAAACAAAACAAAACAAATTGGCCTTTCACCAGAGGTAGTTTGAGGAGCACTGTCGAGTGTGCTTAAGGTATAATGGAACCTTTTCTTTGCCTGCTCATCTACTGTGGCCAGTAGGAGATATGTAGTATATTACTCCTCTGGTGAAAAGAAAAACAAAGGCGACATAATGCCTGTCTGCCGTATTAGCAGCATAAAGTTGGTGGCTAATAGAATTTACTATAAAGAAAGTTGCCTTACAGAGAATAAGAATTAATTCTAGGGTAAACCCGAGATTCTCTTTGATTGCATGTACATGTGTCTTCACATAGCTCGTGTTAGAGTTTGGCTTAGGATAACATGTTTATCTTCGACTATGAACCAGAGAGCAGTGGGCATAGCCTTTCTTTCAATATTTTATTCCCTAGAATCCCTTAGGTAGGGAATCTACCATCATGCTTGGTATACTGGAGTCTCCATAACTAGCCGATGCTGGTGAGGTTAGGCGAAGAAGGAAAAGGTACGGATGTGCATGGTAGTCACCAAAGAGATGATCACCGGTGTTTTTGAGTCTGTTCTGTCACTAAGACTCCTCCTACATTTGGGAAAATCTATTCTATGGAGCCAGGTGTGGTAGGCTGACAGGCAAACAAGGGCAGTGAAGCAGTAGAGCAATTCACAACTTGACCGTGGTCTTTGCATGTGGAAATAGGGGAGAGGAGCCAAACTTCCAATCGACAGTTACTTGAGGCAGAAAACCTTGCTGGATTCCCTGCCCCGAGGACCACTTGTTCCAATAGCTTTTATCCCACATCGAGCGGGATGATTCAGAGAGGCCTTTCCCCTCCTGGGAGCCCGTGCACATGAGCTGGCCTCGCTGAGCAGCCTCTTGGCCAGCAGTCCCTTCTTGGTCTGTGTGGGTTTTGTAAGCATTTCCTCCTCCACAGTCAAAAGGCAAGAGCTTTGCCTGCCCTATTAGCGGCATAAAATCACCCTTTCTTTCAGTTTTTTTTTTTGTGTGTGTTTTTTTTAATCCGGAGGATGAAAATATATAACATATTTGGAAACCCCACGGGCGGACTTGGCAGGCATCTCATATTTACTTGGACTGAACACGAATTAGATTTGGCCCCTGATTTCCCCGCCTCCCTCTCTCAGAACAAGTTATTTATTATCCGCGCAAGTCTGCCTTAGCGGATCAGACGTGCACAGGGCGCGTCTGTTGTGAGTGCGTGAGTGCAGGAAGATTTATGCTCGCCCAAATTGTTTTATATTGGTTTTCATTGTTGAAAATTCACTGTATTCATTCTTGGTTTGGCGTACGCATTTGTAGTGTGCTAGGGGTTCCGGTGGTTGAACGTTTTATCGCTGTAACACTTCATGCAAAGGAAATTAAAAAATATATAGTGAAAGCATTTCCCTAATATGTTTTCAATCAGCTGTGTACTTTCGTAATTTGATTTGTAGGAACTAGAGAGGAGAGCATTACTGAGCTCTTTTCAATCATTCATAATCCTCTGGGAATTCAGAGCATGGTTCCAAGCCCATGAAAATGTCTATCGAAATGTTCTGAAGCCCTTTATCATTCTGTTTGTATGTCGTAAGAAGGGTTTATTGTTGTGACCACAGCAGAATTCAGGGAAGGAGGTGACTCTCCTCCCTGGATCCTGGACAAGGAAAACTGATGTGAACTGATGTGATTGGCTTGGCAGATGTCAATCATTGGTACCAAGAGGTGGGTCCTTTTAGTGCTACATTATCCCGTGTGTGTGTCCAGCCACTGTACTCTTTGGACTAAGCACTCAGATTCTCACTGATAAATCAATCCCTTTGCCCAGTGGGCTCCTAATAATCTAATATGTGGTGCTTCTTCCCACAAAGTGTCACACTCAGGAAGGAGGGTGTTATTTAGACAAATGAAATCAAGATCTAGGCTGTGAGCTTTGCATCATTATTTCTTTGGCTCTTTCCACAGGGACTTAACTGGCTTGGGGCCTCTTTTGAGGATCTCTGGCCTTTGGCTTCTGCTTGTTTCCATGAGTGAGCCTGACTTCTGTTTGGCTAGTGAATTAACATGTGATCATCTGTACATTGACCGTTTCAGATTTCCTTAATCTAGTTCACAACCTGAAATAAATAAAAGTGAAATATGAAATCATAGCTCTAAGGGCTGGGAGGCAAGACTTGGGGGGTTTCAGCTGGTGAAGATCATAGCTTGTCAGGAGACTCAGATGGAAATGGAATTTTGCAATTATTTCCTATATTTTAATTTTCTGCTTTTAGTTCCTACCATGTTTTAACCTTCCCTCTTGACCTTCAGCAATTTTGAGTCCACTGAATCTTATATAAGATCCCTTTCACCGTGTTGTTTTAGCCTCGGTCCTCCTCATATTTCATGTGGCATAAATAAAGTCATGCACAAGGTTATGCGTTTTGGCCAAGAGGGCTCATCAATCCATGCTTTTTCATGTGAAAATATAGTCTGTGCAGTTAATCTTCTCAGTAGTCAAAGAATTAATGCAAGCGAAAGCCAAGTGGGTATTTTAAAAGCTTAGTTGTGTTTTGGGGAGAATAGCAAAGCAATTTGATGGGTCCTGTGATCACCAGTCCCGGTTGAGACGGCATGACTTCTTTTGCTTCAAAGAGAAAGGGAAAAAACCCATATTCATCATTGGCCTGTCTTCCTGCTTCCATTTCCGGTCTAGGTTGCACCTATGAAGGGAACACCTATAACAGCTCCTTCAAGTGGCAGAGTCCTGCGGAACCCTGTGTCCTGCGCCAGTGCCAGGTACGGTCCAGCGATCTTACCCTCCCAAGAAGGGGAATCTGTAGAGTCCTCCTCAGAAGTTTCTTTCAGACAGTACAGAACAAAACAACAACAAACAACAACAAAACCCAACTGTGTTCTTGTACATATTGATTGTGGCATTCACCGAACCAAGACAGTACAGGATAGACATTGTATAGGACTTGCTTCTAGAAACACACAGCGAAGTTGTTCACCATTGTTACATTGTGCCTGAAAAAACTCCTGGAAGATGCATACGTCCTTGGGGAGAATTCATGACTTCCTGTGAGCCAGCTTTAAGCAAAACCCAAATTCCTGTGAGCAGAAAGAGGTACTGTTAGAGGTAATGTTTTCCTCCTTTGATTCAGACACATTTTGAATTGGAGCCAAGCTGTGCACTATATTCAGTCAAAGCAATTAGTACACTGCAACCTCCATGACTTCAACCCAACTCATTTAAGAAACACCAGGTCAGCTCCTGAGCAGCCCACTGTGGCTGGTGCTTGCGGAACTCTGAGAGAGCGCTGACCCCATCAGCTCTGATGGTAATAGCTCTGAAACACAGCGAGATAAACAAAAGGACAAATGCACAATCTCAATGTTCAAACTTCTTTTTTACCCCTTGAGAAATGCTCTTTAAACAATGCTCATTGGATTTGGACATAATTTTAAAAGTCTCCTCTGTCGAGAAGGTGCTGTTAAATCATTCTACCCCACCCCATTTCACTGTCTAAGCATATGCTTTTGCATTTAAAGGAGGAAGGTTAGTATAATAATGTATATTTCTCTCTGATCTTTTTCTTAAAAATATGTTTTTATTGATTTTAGAGAGAGAAAGGGAAAAGGGGGAGAGAGAGAGAGAAACATTGATGTGAGGTGGATCAGTGGCCTCCTGTATGCATCCCCAACCGGGGATCAAGCCCACAAACTAGGTATGTGCCCTGACCTTTCAGTGCACAGGATGACGCCCAACCAACTGAGCCACACTGGCCAGGAGTCTCTCTGATCTTCTCTCAAACATTTACATTTAGCCTGGCCAGAGTGGCTCAGTGGTTTAGCATCAACCCAGGATCCAGGAGGTCACCCATTTGATTCCTGATCGGGGCACATGCCCGGGGTGTGGACTCAATCCCCAGTGGGAGGTGTGCAGGAGGCGGCTGATCAATGATTCTCTCTCCTCATAGATGTGTCTATCTCTCTATCTCCTTTCCTCTCTCTGAAATCAATAAAAGTATATTTTTAGAAATTATATTTACATTTAGTTTACTGAAATCTGAATTTTTCCTATTCATGTTCTTATTAAATGCCCACAGGTTCAGTGACAGAGGAGAGAGTGCAATGTAGCAAGGGACCTGTGGGCCTGCCACTCATGGCACTTGCTATCTAACCTCCCTGGACCCCACTTCCATCCCCGCAAAATGAGGCTGGTACTGTCACACCGGGTGGTGGTAAGCAATGAGGAACCAGGCATTAAAATCACGTCAGGTAGAGCCTGCGTGTCTGGGGTCCAACTAGGTACCAGACGGATAACAGCTGGTCTGATGATCTGGTTTATTTCCATTTGCGTTGAATTCGAGCTTATTTCTTAGACCCTGCTACCAAAGGAGTTCTGATGGTGAAAAATTCACCTTGATTTTCTGCTTCTCATTTTTTACTGGCAGAGGATGCTCTGAAGATGAGACAGGAAATTCATGCAAACCTGAATTCTCCATCTGGATTGCAGATAATAAAGGGAAATGGATGTTGAGCCGTAGCTCTTTGCATTGCTTCAGTTATATAACTAAAGCACAGGTCCTTTTTTGATGTCTCTTACAGAAATTTGGCAGCTGCTTTGTTCTTTCCCACTGTGATATAGATCACAATGAACTCCACTGGTGGCAGACGCCTCCGGCCTGACAGATATGAAGACATGTAGGAAAGAACCCTTCCTTGTAGGATTGAGATGCACTGGTGGCAGACACGATGAAGAAAAGCATCTATTTATTAGATGGTTACTTTATTTTTAGCCTGTGCTACACCTCTCCTCAAAATAAGACTAAACAGTCAGCAAACACACAGACACAAATCCATGTATAAAATAGGTAGAGAATATGGTGAACATTCTTCAAAAGCCAACTCTAAACATTAATTTAAGTAATGTTTCAGTTGACGTTAAAATACTAGAATCCCAGGATCAATTTATAAATGAGTCACTTGATTTTGCTTTGACAGTCTGTTCGAGGCTGCTCTGCCTCTGTATCTATTTTTGTTCATAAGTTTATAATGGTCTTTATTGTCCATGAGTGAGTGAAATCATGTGGTGTTTTTCCTTCACTGACTTGCTTATTTCACTTAGCATAATGCTCTGAAGTCTCTCTTTTGACATAGGTATTCTGAACTTAAAAATCGTTTTATCTAGTCTCTTCAGTGGATGTTGGCGAGCCAGTCTCTCAAGGAGGCAGAGTGGAATGTCTAAATTGCGGAGCTGGTCTAGGTATTTCTAGAAGTGTTAGGATTTACGTCTCCAGATACCCGTCTGGGATATTATTGTTCATACTCTTTGCCTCAAAATTAATGGCTTACAGTATAATGACAGTGATAGAAAATACAGTAAGTGTTGAAACTTAAAAACAATTGTGAATGAACAGCAAGGCACTGCAGGCTACTAACTGACATCAGGGTCTTAAACACTAGATTTATTTATTTAAAAAATTATTTTTATTGATTTCAGAGAGGAAAGCAGAAGGACAGAGAGATAGAAACATCAGTGATGAGGGAAAACCATTGATCGGCTGCCTCTTGCACACCCCCTACTGGGGACCAAGCCCGCAACCCATGCACGTGCTCTGACCGGGAATCGAACCATGACCTCCTGTTCCTGGGGCCCCGCTCAACCACTGAGCTATGCTGGTCAGGCTTAAACATTAGATTTAAAAGAAAGAAAGAAAATAGGGCCAAAGAGAAAGAGTAAGATTAGGGTGAGGAACTAGCCTCCATGGGCTGAGCCAGGGAGATCTGACCTCATCTGGGCCACGTACCTCTGGACCTGACACCACTCTCGCTTTGCACGTTTGTGTTGGGACTCCCCTCCAGTTACCTTGGTTACTTTCCAAAAGTGAATGAGTCTGCAGCGGGGATTCTGGGCTGACCTTGCTGTTCTGTTTTTCAGGAAGGCGTGGTCACTGAGTCTGAGGTGCGGTGCGTCGTGCATTGTAGAAATCCCTCCAAGGATCTGGGACTGTGCTGCCCCACGTGTCCAGGTAAACTCCCAGGACGGGGAGGCTGCAGTTACTGCTGGAACCTCTGAGCGCTGTCCAGAATGCCTGCTGTTCCCCTCTCCCGACCGGACTGTTTCTCCCTTTACATCTGTGCACCTAATGGGTTAGAGAGCAAACTTCTTTGCCTAGAAATTTCCGGTTGGCCTCCCTGGGAGCCCGGATGAAGGCAACGCGCTGTAGGTCTTGGCATGTGGCTGCTCGGGGCTCAGCGGCCTGCTTTCCACTCCACGGGCCGCAGGTAACGCTTATTTTGGAAGGAGAGGCTGTGGCTTTGCCTCGCTACCAGAAATGTCTTTACTGCTTCAGTTTGCAATCCCTTGGCCAGAGCTGGGTGATGAGGTAACCAGATGTTTGCTGAAAACCGAGAGCTGTGGCCCCGAGGGAAGTCAGCCTAGGCTTGTGCTGGCCTCCGCTGTCCGCCTGGTGCAGCAAGTTGGGCCCAGGTCTTTGCAGAGGCCCCGCAGCCCAGCTGACCGTGGGGGGCTCCTTCCTCTCAGTGGCTGGAGGGCTTCCTCTCGCCTCCGAGCAGGATTACCAAGGCCTCCTGCACCTTTGCTCGCCCTAGGCCTGAGCCCGGGGATTGTGAGGTGAGAGATATTTTCCTGAGCCCTTAAGCCCCTGGCCCATCCTCTTAGACAGATGTTCTGCATTTGGGGTTTTTCACAGAGTGTTTTCCTCATTGGAGGTGATACCCACAACTCCTCCTTGCTTTTGAGGTTAATCTCCAAAGAGCCTTCTGTTCTGCAAACCTTCCTGGGTCATGGCTATGGCCACACGGTGGGTCGCTCGGCAAAGATGAGGCTCCCTGCTCAGGCGCCGGCTGTTCCCCTCCATGCTGTCTGAAATATATTCAGACCCGAGTCCCTTCTGAGGTCTGGTCTTTTCTCATCTTCAAATGACATAAGGACAGGCCCCTCTCCACTACTTCTGACCTTCCTAAGTTCCCCGCACAGTTTTTTCTCATTTTTTAAAAATATGTTTTTATTGATTTTCAGAGAGAGAGGAAGGGAGAGGGAGAGAAACATCAATGATGAAAGAAAATTATTGATCAGCTGCCTCCTGCATGCCCCCTATTGGGCATCGAGCCTGCAACCCAGGCTTGTGCACTGTTGGGAATCAAACCATGATCTCCTGGTTCATAGATCGATGCTCAACCACTGAGCCACACCAGTCGGGCCCTGCACAGTCTTTACTGAGCCCATCTTCCTTTTCACAGTGGGACTGCTGTGGAGTATTATTGGATGAGCTTTCATGAAGACCAAAAACTGGTTGATAATTCTTTCCATAATCACTTTTTTCTCCTGAGTGCACTAAATATGCTTTGTATCATGTAGCCATACTCATAAGTGCCTAAAAGATCTTTATTAAGTTAGATCACTAGTTTTCAAGGCTGCTCATTAACATCACCCAGGAAGTTTTCAAAAATAAATCTTGATGTGTAGGCTGCATCACAGAGCAATTTCATCAAAATCTCTGAGGGTGGGACCCAGCCCTCCCAGGTAATTCCAAGCTTGAGATGGATAACAGAGCAGTTTTTTTTTTAATGCTGTATAGATTTTAAAATTGTCATAGCTCTTAAATATGAATTTAGTAATGTTGAGTAGACTGTTGTTTTATTGATACAGAATCCATTGAGCACATACAACATTCCTCTTCAGTCAGGAGATAGTCATATTTTTTTGGCTGCTTTTGAAAGTGTGAGTGTACAAACATCAGAGTGACAAAGTGACTTTATTTCAGCAATTGAAGTTACCATATTTGAGCAACTGCTTCCATTTTGTTTTTGGTTGAGTTCCCCGAAGGAAAGGGTGAACTCCATGACTGTACATACCACACTATTGAATGCACTTGACCCACCAGTGAGGTACTGCCCGAAGTTCATAGAGGAAGGAATGAGACCCAATGGGAATAAGACCTGTGAGTGAGAAGAGGCCAAAGGTGGAGTTAGGGTCTGGCTTCCTCTCTCATGGCCACCATATTGTACTACCTCCCACCTCCCACACACCATGATAACTGTTCTGCTTGGTTTCAGATGCCTTGGGAGGCAAATCTTGTAAGTTAGCATGCCAGTGGCACACACCAGGCCCTGACAGCTGGGCAAGCTCTGTGCCTTCCACTATGGGGTCAAGAATCAACTGTTGCTAACTTTAAAGATTTGCTCAGTGGTTGAGCATCAGTCTATGAACCAGGAGGTAATGGTTTGATTCCCAGTCGGGGCATATACCTGAGCTGCGGGCTCAATCCCCAGTAGGGAGTGGGCAGGAGGCAACAGATCAGTGATTCTCTCTCATCATTGATGTTTCTATCTCTTTCACTCTCTGCCTCTCTCTCTGAAATCAATAAAAGATATATTTTTTTTTTAAAGTTGGCTCTGTGGCTCATCCCCTTGAACTGAAGGGAATCTTTTTTATTAACTTAATGCATAGACTGTGACAGAAGTGGCTTCAAGGTTCTCTTTAAAAAGATCTTCCACCTTCTTTCAAACTCTTTTTTTTTCCCTTTCTCAGTTTCAAAGGCCAACCTTCGGGATGCAAATCAGAGGCCACATCCAGAATGTGTCACCCTTTGTCTTGGGAGGGTGGTCTCAGCTAAGTCTAGACAGGGACCCTCAAGGGAAGCTGTGGGACATTCTCCTTCATTAACTCAGGACTGGCATCTGTCACTGATCATGGGCTGCTTTTTCCACATAATGACAAACATGCAGAGTCTGTGGTCAGCTTCCTCCTGAGACACACTTCAGGGCATTCTTGGTTGTCTGCTCCTTCCTTTCCTCCCGACCCTTTGTTCAAAGATGGCGAGTTGTGATGGGAACAGTTTGCATGAATTTTCATTTAAAATTCCCTATTGAAGTTGTCAAATGTGGATTGTTGTGGTTAATCATCTGGAAATCTGTCTGACAGAATCAGTGGTGCAAACATATGAAAGAATGGAAGACCCTTTGTTGGCAGCGTCCTTTGTAAAGAGATGACCGGGTACCTGCCTTGATGAGCCAGGCTGAGCCACAGCCACTAGGAGGGCCATGGGTTCACCAGGTCTTCCCTAATCAATGGGAACAGCAAGGAGGTGGCGGAAGGCTGGGCGTGGGCATCAACAAGCAGTTTCACTCAGTTATTCAGCATCAGGCTCAGTAGTGTTTGGCTCCACGCCTTTCAGTGAACAAAGGGCTCTATATCCGGCTTTAAAGTGAACAGGTCCAGCCGCCACATCAGGTGGATGAGGGTCATACTTGTTTCTTCTTGGAAGGTACCAGCTGCTTCAAGGCTTTGGTGGGTTCTGTTGATGAGTTCAGTTGGCGGGCCTTGAACACTCACTCCCAGGGGCATGAGGCTGTCTTTTGCAAGAGCCCTCTTTGCTGAATGTTGGCTGGCAGACTGCTGCCTCCAGCACTGTCTGTTATGTGGAGAGTGACCTCAGCTATTCTGGCAAAGTGCCTCCTGAGCACGGACCTGAGGACTAGCTGACAGTCCCCCCATAGCCTGGGTGATAGGGGATTACTGGCCAGCTATGCTCTAGGTCATTTGTGAGATTTGTTACGAATATAATAGTGTCCTGAGCATCTTTCTGAATGGGAGACACCTCCTGGGCTTCTGGTCCTATTTTTATCCAGACTTGGTGGGGGAACACAACCCCTTTAACAGGACAAAGGGTGGGACTGAAAACCTGTGGGTACCTCCTGACCTACCTTTGTGCCTTCTTGTCTTGGTGCCTGGTTATTTGTGCGGTGCGGCCAGTGGGTCAGAACTGAGTTTAAATCCCAGCTCTGCCCCTGGCCAGCTGGGTGAGTTACTTCTCTCAGAGCCACGTCTTCCCCATTTTTGGGGACAGTGACAAAAGTCCCTACTTGGTAGCTCACTGGTGAAGATGGAGTAAAATCATGGGTATGGAGGGCCTGGTAGAGGCTGGGCAATTCCTGCTACTCATCGAGTGGCAGCTCTTTAGGTCATTTGCTATTTAGCTCATCATTGGTTTCTCTCACTGGGACTTCTTCTGTCTGTCGCCTCTGGCGTTGGTCCCCCTGGCCGTGGTCAGTGAGGTCATGGTGAGTTCCACAGGCTCTGCAGGACTCACCACTGTGCACTGGTCCCCCTCAGGCTGACCTGGGCCCAACCTCTGATGTGCTTTCAAGCATCTTGAGATTTTTGGGCCCATGTCAATCTTTTGTACTCTTTTGGTCTTTTTTCCCCTCCCTCCCCCCCTCCCTCACTCCCTCCCTCCCTCCTTCCCTCCCTCCCTCCCTTCCTCCCTGTCTTTCTTTTTTCTTACTATGAAGTGATATTGTCCTCTGGTTAAAGAGGATGCTCTTCAAGGTGGAGATGGGAGATGGACGAGCAATGGATAGAAAAATAGGGTCAAATTGAACAAAGGCTGCTGCCCTCATTCAAAACTCTCCTTTGCTTTCCAGGCTGTGTGTTTGAGGGTGTGCAGTACCAAGAAGGAGAGGACTTTCAGCCCGAAGGAGACAAGTGCACCAAGTGTTCCTGCGTTGTAAGTACTGCCCTGGGTAGTCCGAGGATGTTCCTTCTGGTTAATTGCAGCTGGGACTCACCACGAGCAGCCCTGACTCTCCTTATAGTCTTTCCTTCTCTCCCTCCTGCTGTGGACCCCGGGGGAAAGCTCATCTCTCTATGGCAGGTGTATTGCTAGATCTTGGCACTGTTAGCATTCGGGGCTGGGTAGGTCTTTGTCGTGGCAGCTGTTCTGTGCAATTGTAGGATGTTTAGCAGCATCCACTTTCGCCCTCAGTTTTGACAACCAAAAATGTCTGCAGATACTGCCACCTGTCCCTGAGAACAAGGTCACTCCCGATTGAGAATCACTGGTCTAAGGAATGAGGGGAAGAGGCTGATTTTCCTCCACTTGCATCTTCTTTGGGGAGACATGGATTCTCTGCTCTTTGGGCAAAGAAGCTTCTTGCTGAAGCAGCTGTTGAGTTTTTTAGTCAAATGGGAAGCAGATGGGGTCAGCTCGCCTCAATGTATTCTGTGTGGTGGAGAACCTGGTCTAAAGATTGGTCAGTTGTGTTGGGGGAATAAACAGGAGGAAGTGGCCCCTAAGCTGTGGGTTCGGGGTGGAGTAGGGATTGGTGAGGCAAAGCCACAGACCTGCCTCTCCAAGCATTGCTGACTTGTAACTCATGCACCAAGGATATCTTCAGAGTGCTTAGGAATGAAAACGGGAACTTGGCTGATGTGATGATGTTGAGGGGATCTTTGATTTTTAATTTCTTTATTGATTAAGGTATTACATATGTGTCCTTATCCCCCCATCATCCCCCAACCCTCCCACTCATGCCCTTACCCCCCTATTGTCTGTGTCCATTGGTTAGGCTTTTATGCGTGCATACAAGTCCTTTGGTTGATCTCTCCCCCTTACCCCCACCCTCCCCTACCTTCCCTCTGAGGTTTGATGGAGGGGATCTTTTTATTTATGTATTTTAAATTTGGAGTAAAATCATTGGTGATGATGGTGGTCACAGTGATGATGGGAACCTAGTCTTAACAAGCCATTCCAAGTTATTTACACCATATATTTTTAAAGCTTTTAATCTTTTGTCATAAAGAACATACAGTGTGCATCTCAGAATATTAAAAATAATGGGGAACTCTAGCATCGTAATTTCACCAAAGTAGAATCATATGTGGATCATTGTAAATCACAGCATTTGTCATTTCTCTACACGTCTTTCCTAACCTCTTTCCCCTTCCTACAGCACATACAACTTAGAGAGTCCCGAGTGAAGTAATCATGACCCAGGGGAGGGTGTTTTTGTAAGGGGAAGGGAGAGGAAAGAAGGAATGGGGAGGGAGACTGGGAAGGAGAGGATATATGTGTATATATCAGTAATATGAGGTATATAATGCACATCATATTGTAATATGTAAAAACAAAGATAATTGACTAATGAAAATGAACATGATTTTGCATATTCAGATTCCACTTCCATGTGGATAAATAGCTTTGTTTTTATATAGATAATTTCTATTTGCTATTAAATATTGCTTATTTTTTTCCTATTGGCAGCTGTAAAGTTTGCTGATAATTTTGTGTGTGTATCCCATTCTTTTCGGTAGATTGAGGAAAAACAAGGCACCTCTGAAGTAGGAAATTTCAAATCTGCACTTAAACAAACCATCTTTCCCGGAAGGGTATGCCAAGGCTGGGCAGATGAGCCTCCTTGAGGGGGTGGGGTGGGATTTGGGACGTGGAAAGAGGATGGAAGATCCTGTAGATTTAACAATAACAGTCATGCGAAGTAATTCAGTGTTGGGGAGCGGAAGTGAGTTTGGAGGTCATATATGCAGGGTCACAAACTCAGATGCACTCAAGGCATTTGGAGTACATGTGTTTCTAAGCACAACGCACCTGAGGGCCAAGCTCAGGGCCCTGGGAGTCCTGCTTTCAGTTTTGGTTGAAGAAATAAAAGTTCAATGATGTTGGTTGCCCAAGCTTTCCTGTTCAGTGAGTTCTCTGCAGACCTATATTCGATATCATTTTCTGTACCCCTACATCTGATTGCTCATGTTCTTATAGTCCTAATCCTATATTCTTTCTAGTTCTCTTTTGTTACCCTCAGCGCTTTGGAGCCACTAATGGCTCTGATAGGACGAGCAGCAGAGAGGGCGGAGCCGTGCTTGGGGATAGGACACGTGTGAGTAAGTTTGGGTATGAGAGGGCCATCAGAGCAGTTTTTATTTTTGAGAATACAAAAATTTTTTTTGCAGCTTGTTATTTTTTTTTCTTTATTGATTAAGGTATTACATACGTATCCTTAACCCCTCTGCAGCTTTTTATTAAAATAGCTTGGGCGTTTTTTTGTGTTTTTTTATTTTATTGATTTTTCACAGAGAGGAAGGGAGAGGGATAGAGAGTTAGAAACATCGATGAGAGAGAAACATCGATCAGCTGCCTCCTGTACACTCCCTACTAGGGATGTGCCCGCAACCAAGGTACATGCCCTTGACCAGAATTGAACCTGGGACCCTTCAGTCAGCAGGCCGATGCTCTATCCACTGAGCCAAACTGGTCAGGGCTTTGTGTTTTTTTTTATTATTATTATTCATCCTCACTCAAGGATATATTTTCATAGATATTTGAGTATAAGGGATGTGGAGAGACAGAGAGAAACATCAGTGTGAGAGAGATAGATCAATTGGTTGCCTCCCGCACTTGCCCTGACCAGGGCTGGGGATCAAGCCTGCAACTGAGGTACATGCCTTTGTGACACAGCACGCCAAAACCGGGACTGTCTTCTCTTCCAAACTGTGACATTCTTGCCCTTTAAAGCCACCAGCCCCTTCTTGCTGGGGAAGAATAGCTATTGTTAGATAGATATCCCCATCTCATTAGATGGCTCTCTGCCTCAGACCACTGCCTCTGGAGTTGTGCACCTGTGAATCCTTCGTGAATATTACCCGTCTCTGATAAATGAATCTCCAACCCTTCCAGTTGCCCCCCCCCCCCCTCTAGTAAGTACTGTATATGTCAGCTGGGTTGTGTTTTGTATCCAACCACCTTAGTTACACTCTTCAAATTTGGGAAGCTCTGTCTACCCATGGTTTTGTGATGTGGTGACGGAGGCGGACGACTGGAGAGACACCCATCTCATTGAGATGGCTTCTTCAGATAGTGAAACACATGCCTGACCCATGATTTTACATCCTGACTCGGGTCGGGACGTCTATACGGCGGGCGTTCCAGACAGCTGAGCGCATGCTGACGTTTGAAGATAACTGGAGAGGATTTCACAATTTCACTCTGACCCGTTCCAGAAGCAGAGCGCTTGACATTTTTAGGGGTGAATATCATCATGACTCATGTGAAGAATCCTTTCCTATTGCCTGTGAAACCGTAGCACCCCCCATCTACTCAGATACATAAGAGAGCCAAGAGAATCCCTTCTCCAGAGTCCCAGTACTCACCAGGGGGTGCAGACCTGAGCCCCTCTGGCTGTTCCTCAGAGTTGTCTGAGTCATTTAGTGTGTCTTCCTCATGGCCTGTGTTCAGTCTGAGTAAGTCCTATATTTATTTTATTTTTAATATATTTTTATTGATTTCAGAGAAGAAGGGAGAGGGAAGGAGGGAGAGGGAGAGGGAGGGAGAGAGAGAGAAACATCAATGATGCGAGAGAATCATTTATGGCTGCCTCCTGCACACCCTACATTGGGGATCGAGCCCACAACCTGGGCATGCACGCTGACTGGAAATCCAACCATGACCTGGTTCATGGGTCAACACTCAACCACTGAGCAACACTGGCTGGGCTCTGTATTAATTTTAAAAGGGAAAGAAGTTGACTCTCTCCTAAGGCAGAAGGAAAGCATATAGTTTATACCAAGCACTGGTTAAAGCACACATCTGCCTCGCTTTGCTTAATCTTGAGCTTTTATTACCTGCCTCATGGAACAGCACACAGCCCTGCATGCCTTTGTCAGGCAATTTGCAAGGAACGGGATGGTGGCAGTGGGCGCAGACCTTTCTGTGAAATCCCGTGTGTCCCAGGCCTCTGAGGCCGAAGACCAACGTGCCACTGAGGGATGTCTGTGCTCTCTTTCCGAGAGAACGATTGTAAGAAGCCTCGGGGCTCTTGGAAACTGCTGGCTGAAGGGAAGGAAGCCCACGGAGCTGTCGGATGCTCTTAAAAGAGTGGCAAGTCCTCAGTCTGTAAAAGCAGCCAAATTAACCGGCCAAGATCAATTACTTCTGCTGACAAAGGCGTATTAAGTTCCGAGGATTTTTACTAATAAACATGGGTTGTTAATGGGCTGTCTGTGATGAAGGAGCCGTGCTTTATTGGCTCTTGGAGGCCCTGAAGTGCATAAACACCTTTGCTCTCACTTACGCTTCGGAGATTGCAAAGTGCTGTCTCCCGGGAATGAACTCCGAGGACGGCTGTTTGGTGAGAACAAAGGAAATGGAGATCTCCATGGTTCCCACCCCTCTTAGACCCAGGCCCCTGACCTCTGCCAAGTTCTTTCGTTCTCTCTGCTCTGGCCTCTGGGCAGAACCTCAGGTCCTCACTGCACACGGTGTGGATCAGACCCGCAGCCTTGGCCTCATCCCAGAGTTTCTTAGAAACGCAGAACCTTGGGCCCCTCCCCAGGCCCGCTGAGTTGAAATGCAGTTTCACAAGCTTCTCGGAGAATTCATTTGCCGAATAGAGTTTGAGGAGCACTGGTCTGACATTGCATGGCCTTGACCTGGGCTGCTTTGTCCTCCTTCTGTCCTTTCGCATCTATCGTGCCCCGTACCTAGTTAACACCCACCCGTCTGCCTGTAGAAGCCCACACCTTCCTTCTGACTCCCAGACCAGAGAAGTCCTGTTGCCGAACCCTTCAGAGCAACCATACTTTACTTTCCAGATATTGAAAATGATCGCTAATGTTGTTGTGATTGATCATTTTAGTATTTCACTTCACTGGGGTACAAGGCTGACTGTATACCTTCAGTGCGTGGTCCATAAAGGGCATTCATAAGCATCGCTCAAT